GTCTCCAAAACAAGAATTCATTTACTCCCTCTCTCTCTTCAGATGAATAAACCATGCTGATTGAATTGAATAAAGGTAACAAAGCTGCCCAAAAACAAATTCTTTGGCAGCGCTGAAATGTTGTCTTTCGGTGGCTTCGCCACATTTATTCCATTCGATCAGTACGGTTTATTCATATGTATATTTTCGATGATATGGGGTCTTTGTTTTTCTTTTTGTTTTCCCTAAAACGGCTAAAGTAAAAAAAAAAAAAAAGAGCCTGGAAATAGAAACTTGATTGCTTCATGATAACATTACCCACCGCGGCGGACGTTAGGTAGAGAGTGTAAAGTGAAAATTATAAATTAATTACCTAAAATCCAACTGGTACGAATACTTTAAGTATTCGTACCAGTTGGCATATTTTAATTAGAAATGTTTTGCCCGTCGAAATGTTTCACCACAGTTGTTAGCATTCAGACAACTAAACTCTACTCCGCGCCATGGCGAAGTGAAGCTGTGAATTTTCCGTCATACTGAACTTACACAGAAAGAGCGCAGAAAGCTGAGCGCCCGAGGAAACAGCAGACTGTGCCCTTTCTACGGTCACGTGACCCTTGTTGGGTCGCGGTGACTCGCTATGCCGCAAAAAGGGGTGCCCCCACCCCCTCCCCCCTTACAAAATGTGTTAATGAATTTCAGTTAAAAGTTTATGGGGTCTACTCATCGTATCTTTTCGAGTCTCAATAGAAATGCAAATGAGTTTTGTACCGAATCCGTAAGGAGTTTACGAAAACTATTGGCCACCGCGTTCCAACTGAAGCTTCGACGTGCTACCGCATAAAGTTTCTAGTGTATTTCATACGAATATAATTTGAAAGTCTATTGACACTGTTTCGTGTCTGTGTTGAAAAACTATTGATTTTTTTGTAACGAGTCCCTAAGGAGTTTCCGAAAACTATTGGCCACCGCGTTTCAGTTAAGGTTTTGCCTTGCCACCTCATAACAATTTCTAGCGCTTCGTCTCTGTCCCCTTCTTCGTCCTTGTTCATTCGGCGCTTTCCATTCAATTATGTACCAACTAGCCCATTTATCTATTTTACAACAATTTCTAATACATTTTATTTGGAAGTCTAGATACACTGCTTTGAGTCTCTGTTGAAAATCAAATGTTTTTTTCTATTAGTGAAAAGACGGTGAGAGTGCAGGCGAGCTGGTGGTAGCTAATCATGTCGTATTACACCTCAGACTGCGGTGGAAGAAATCGGAAGAACTTTCAGTAGGAGGAACAGACACAGAGAACGTCTCCCGCGCTGTAATTGAGGTTTTGATGGGCTATCTCATTAAGTATATTCCGACGAGTCGGAATATACCTAGTGTGTGTGCGTCTGTGTGCGTGTGTGCGCGTGTGTGCGTGTGCGTGTGCGTGTGCGTGTGCGTGTGCGTGTGCGCGTACGCGCGCGTGTGTGTGTGTGTGTGTGTAGACTACGAACCTCCGGTATAGGACATTGAAGATGCACGGCCACCGTCTTCGCACTATTTTTTTTTTTTTAATTTTATCAGCGCTGAGTAGAGCTGTAAAAAAATTGACAAAACTTTTCGCGAAACGACGTTTCAGGAATGTACGATTCGAATTCACATTTTTTCAAGGTGTGCCAAATGTGCTGGTCCCTACGACCTCACCGTGTACATAAGATAAAAACAAAAAAACAGCCGCTTCCTTTTTTTCGTATGCTGCAGTTTTTTTTTTTTCCGTGGAGAATAATATTATATTGAGTTTGAATGCTGAATCTAGGCTTCGGGTGGAAGTGACGTCTCTGAAATCAGTGAGCCATTAACGCGCTAGCATCGCACTGCAACGACCACGGGCTTTATCCCGAAATCCGTGCAAGGGCGTCCAGCATTAACCAGACGGTGCTTTTAATCTCGCATGAAAGCATCGTCTCCTTTCGCGTTTTATGCACGTTTGCGACGGTAACCAACCCACGGCCCCGAGGTGCCACCAATACTATTTAAGCAGCAGGCCACACCGTCGTTTGTTGAATTCCATCTAGGGCCATGTCCCGGTATGTTTTCGCACTGATTGGACTGTTGCTAAATTGCCTCAACGGGGCGTAGCTTCTATAATGAAACTTTAATACTGGGAGCCAATACCCCGCTGTATCGCCTACGAAAGGTTGCATCATGCAGCACGCATTTTGTTAGTACCCGAAGTACGGGCGGGGGTTTCATATGCGCACTGCATGATACGCTAGATCAGGAAGTGTAGCGACCTGGCCCGGCTGTTAGTGAGACGCTGCGATGCGGCACGTGCGCAATTCTGCGACGGGAATCGTCGATTTGCTCGGATGTTGATGGAGCGTCTAATGGCGTCTTCCGTGTCGTTCCGCTCTGTCTCCACTCTTAATTCATCAGGCGGAATAACTGTTTCTCTCTCTGTCCGTTTACGCGTGTGAGAATAACTTGACTTGATCAAACATTATGCTGCTGACTGGTATTGCTTAATGCAGGGGCACGGGCACGGGACACGGCAAGAAACGCATTGCAGATATATTATTTGCGAGGCATAAAGGCCCATTAGGCTAGTTTTTTTTTCTTTCTTGTGTTGGAAACACCTGTTTGGTCACGAACAAAGAGATGCGCTCACACTCTCACACATATGTGCTTTGTTAGGAATCTAATATCGCAAAGTGGCAGAAGCTAAGAACGCTCCAAATAACTGTGGCCGTTTATTATTGATAGCGTAAGAAGTTCACGACCCGTGTTTACGAAAATACGAAAACGTTGAATTGGGCCTGGGGTAGTTTCTCACGAGTCGCCAATGAACCATTGGTAAAAACACTCCTGGTAAACATAAAGTCGTACCAGGCTAGCATCTCCGTCTTGAAATAATATTTGTGCACCATATTCTCGGTGGTGCACCAGTGACTAACATTTGCTTCTTATTAGTCTCAAAAACGGCCCGACCGTATTTTCGAATCATTAAATAATTTACACGAACTAAACCCCAGAAACCACTGCAGATACTTCACGAAGGCCTTCTAGACGGAAAGGATATATGACCTTCGCGGAGGTTCGAGTCGCTTATCACAACTCCAGGAAAACAAGTGCCACCCGTTTTGAACTTCATCATTGCGTTTTATTGCTTCACAAAGTGGCGGCTAGAAGGGGACGTCTGACGATCCCTCGCTTTGGCCAACGGGCGAAAGTGGTCCCGTGATTTAGCTTCACTGCGCACTGTGGAGAATCGTACGTTATTCGACATGAGCGCCACATTCGGAATTGCATTCGCGATCACTGCTACTCTCTCTCTTGCCCTCTCTACTGGGCAGGGATATAGTAAAGTTCCAGTGACTTAAGGAGATAGGTGAGGGCCTGAGAGGGCTGAGGCGCTGAGGGGCCGACAGATCAGTGAGCGGGCGGCCAAGACTGAAAGGGAGAGAGTGGCAGCGATCGCGGAGTGCCCTTGTGGCGCTGCTGCCGGATTCCAGATAATAGGGAGTTTTAAGGAACCGTGTTTGCACATCCGATACGGTACCATGGGCCCTCCGGTATTCACTGTGCATATGAGAGTCTTCTGTGGTGGTGCATGCGCAATTCGTACCAGAGGGCCCATCGTACTGCATCGAATGTGCGCAAATGGTTCTCTGAAACTCTCGAATACTGCGCGATGGTGCTGAAGCGTTGGACCACTCTCGCCCGCGCGATCCTCACACCGGCCCCGCTAGCCCACCATGCCTCTGAAATACGTCCCGATGCTCGCGAGAAGCGCTCGCGTCGGAGCACTGTCCATTGATAAAAGGGCCACCCGAACGGTGCCTTCGGCATATGAGGCCATAGAACCTACTGTCACGGCGCGACAAGAGCAACTCTGGCAATCGATTCCAAACTCTTTTTGAACAAATTAGGGCATCCGATGCTCCCCGTACGGTATTTTCGTCGCACAGATCTGGAAAGCGCCATGCTAGCTCATATTGCCTCCCATGTGATATTGGATCTTTCCTTTGGTAGACGTGGTTCGTGTGGTATTTTCTAACCTCAACAGCTAACGCGAAAAGATGAAACGCATTGCATAATCGTGTGGCGTCGGGTTCTGTGTGGTGATGACCCGGAATCTGTGCACGCGGCCGAGATATAGACGATAATGGCTCTTGTTATCTGTTCCGTCGGCCACACGTGCACTGTTTCCTCAGCCCTTCTAACGTGACCGCCCTGCACACAGCTATGATTGTATTGTCTCGCTCTCAAAAGAACCGCAACGCTTGCAACCAGAACTGTGCCATCTCCTTCATTGGATATCGCCCCACTTTAACCCGTCGCAATAGAAAGACGCGTAGCTCTGTGAACGGAACGTTTGGAAGCTCCTTTCTGCATTCGGAGCTCGCTCGGTATAAGTTACCGAAGTAATACAACGGTCTGAAAAAATAAACCAGCAAATTATAGTTCCCTAGTCGAAAAAAACAACCCTACCGACTTGTATAACAAGGGCATAATGCGTCAAAATACATCCCAATTTTCGCCCTCTGAGGTAATAGCAAATTTTTGGGCACCTCGTGTGCAGGCAACACTCACGTCTTGTGGGAAAATTAGTTTTCGGAATGCCGTCTGCGGGGTAGCACTGGGTCTGATGCGTGCGCGTGGAACGTCGTGCGCACTTTAACAAAACATGTTTTTTTTTGTTTTCTTTTCTGTGAAAATGTTTTTTTTTTGCGCTTTTTTCTCACGGATGAGATGAGCTCCGAGTGGTTTTCAGAGAACTAGACAGAACAAAGGGTTACTGGCGGCTTAAGAAAGTGCCTGGCAGATTATGTTACCGCGTTTAGCTTGGTCATTGGCGCTTCGGCGATCGGATAATGGTGCAATCTGATTGGCTGAGGAGCGATAATAAAATGCTTGGGACGCCTTGCGCTTCTTAAACTGTCCGTGATTGAGCGTGTGACTGTTTTATTTATTTTGTTTTGTTTTCAGTACTTCTGCTACCGGGAGTCTTTCGTTGACATTTTCGTTTCATCTCTCGACAGGAGCATGCGGTCGAGAAAGCGACGGGCGAGAGCCCGAAGCCGTACCCGAAGGCGGTCTTCTTCATCATCGCCACGGAGTTTTGCGAGCGGTTCTCCTACTATGGCATGAGAAGTGAGTGCGTCACGGTTTTTTCGCGAGTCTGGCATGCACAAGTACGGAGCGCGACAGAGCTGAACCTCCTCGCCCCGCTTTGCTTCGTGCTTTCCGCATAGCTCCACCGGAGCCGTTAAAAGACTTACCGCTCAAGAGTCCTGTATATGACTTGCGTTTGACGCCCTCTCCTCGCGCGGTTTTTTCTCCGGGAAAAAAGAAATTAGATGGTTCGAAATGCAGGCTACAGAAGGTACGCTCTCAGCAGCAGGGACAACACAATGGTGACTGACGTTACTTCAGTGCAACCCATGTAAACTGCATTGCGATCGTCTTGGGGTTCCGAAAATCGGGGTCTTTTAAGACTGGTTCACACAGCACCGTTGTCTTGCGTTTTCTTACGTTACGTATAAGTCACCGAAACATTCGTGTCTCGAATATCGCGTGCCAGGCTATCTCATTGAACAGGAAGCCACGCTTAATATGAAGCACACATGTCGCGGTGAATTCTAAGTAAGCTTTCGAAACGTAACCTAATGTTAGAAAACTGGGCCGTGTTAACTAAGGTCATTGGATCCTCAGGAAGTAGCGCCAAGTTCCCCGTATGGTCGCAAATTTGGCTCTGGAAATGAGCATTTTCTCCTTGACCTTTCCATTCTTGATGAGTCAATCTAAATTCGCTGGTGACGGGTAGCTTTATGCAGTCGTTTCTTCTGTACCGAAATTTGGCTATCTACACACCGGGGAAACAAACGTACATCACAGTACCGCCACCACATGCGGTGTCGGTGCTTGGAGGGATTGAAAAATAATTTTTTGTTTTGAAATACGCAACAAGAACAATATCATTCCAAGAGATCCGTGGAGATGTGCATGATTGGTAAGTTAATTGCATACACAGTGGCAAAGACGTTCGTATTGGCAAGGGATGCTTTGTGTACGATGATGTTCCATGGCGATCTTGGTGCAACTGGTTCAGAACGACCTTTTCGAAGCTTCGAAGATATGAAGGGGCCGAAATGGCGATTGCCACGGCAACGGACACTGATCAGCCAATCACCTAGGAGGTTGCGAGGTTTTGTTCGTCTGTATGTTAGTAACTGTTTATGTCCGGCTAGCAGGTAAGAAAAGCAATGGCGCTACTTGCCAAGGATCCGGTGACTTTAGTGTGAACCAGCATTTATGGTGAATAGACCGATCTCACCGCCATAACTTTAGTTCACAGGAGGCAGACGGCAGTGCACGAGGGGGCTCGTTCCGTCTCGTGCTCTACACGCGCAGAGCTCAAGCGAGGTTGTCCCACGTGCAGACAGACTAAAGCTCCCTCCATACATCGCGGCAGCGGTGGCGTAGTCAGACTGGTAGGTGAGGTCGGTCTATTCCTCTGGTAGGTCTAGAGCGGTTTGCGAAATTTGTGAAGGAGGCGAGAGCCTGCTCTGTAGGACACGTTCAAAATTAACTAGCGGAAGATGGTCTCGATTTTTCGAGCGAGCCGCCGGAGGCGGTCTGTTATTCAACTTGCCTGAGCTCTAACTTTACGAGTCGATTGAGGTCTTCGACGATTAATTACCACTCTATTGAAAAACCGTCTGTATGGCCCATCAGGATTTTTGAAAGGTTTTGACGTAGCCTTCAACAATTTCTAAGAGGTCTCAGATGTCCGCCAAAGTTTTCTAAGGGGCCTTCGTACCCTTCAAGAATTTCTGAGCGGTGGGAGAAGTCCGTCATAGCTTTAAGTGTCCTGTGGGAACTGTCACAATCTTTTTAGGTAAAGCATATGACCCATCAAAATAGTTTTAACAGGTCTGGTGTAGAAATTACGAGATCCTTCAGCATATATGCGTTGGGGAAGGTGGTTAGCCATTTAGTATCGGGCGGCCCCAACGAGCGGTTGGTTACTCAGTGTCGCCTTCCCGTCCCAGGCCGGGGATCTATCTCCTTAATCAGCTGAGTGTGCGGATGAGGGAGGAGGTCCCTCAGTGCCCTGTTTTTTGCAACTATTCGTACGCCCGGCTTCAGAAGATCACCCGGCGAGTGTAAAGGAGACCGTAGACGCCACCGCGCGGCACCATGGACAACACCGTGACCGTGCTTGGGATTTCATCAACGGCGGCTGATGTTGGTTTTGCGTTCGTGGTTTTCGCTGCAAGTGTTACTGACAGTGCGTGTGGTGTTCCTGCTTGGTTTTAGAAGTTGAACTACTGTACATCTTAAGAATTTACCCAGCGGCATTGTGAGTATCTCGAAATATATTTTTGGCGACAAAGAATTCGGTTTCCGCTATTAGTTCTGATCGTTCTGCCTACCGCTGCTTGCCCTTGGGTTTCAATACACGTTGATTCTTATTATTTTTCTGCATTTCAACGCGCATGTAAACCTCAGTCTAAAATAAACTTCCAATCTGATATTAAGCAACTGCATTTTATTTTTGGTTCACAGTCATTTGTGCTCCCATAGGGTTGAAAGGCTCTGGGTATCTGAAAGGCTGAACGGCCTGAAACTCTAAAGGGGGTTTGAAGTACTAAAGGAGTTTGAAGGGATGGATTGGTGTGACGGGCTAAAGGTGCTTGAGCGGCTGAGAGGGTCCCATAACGCACGAGGGCTGAAGCGTTAATTTTAATACGGTTCTAAATAAAATAACACTTTAGCTCTTATGTGTTATGGGACCCTCTCAACCGTTCAAATCCCATCAGACCCTTGAACTCATCAGACCCTTTAACCCATCAGACCCCTCAGCGCTTTCGACCCCCTTAAGCGCGAACCAAACCAAATCGTTTTTGTGCGGGCGTAGGCCGTGCGGCTCCCGGAAATTGCGTATTTCGTGACTTCACGCTGATTCCGTGCGCCTTCCGGGCGCGCATAAGAAAGTTGGATGATTTCAACCTTTTCTGAACGCGCAAGAAAACGCGCTGTGAAGTTGTAAAGCGCTCCTGCTCCCAGCCAGTCGGTGGAGGCCACTAGTTCCGGCGCCGTATTTCTTCGCCGACTGGTTCAGATGCTCTCTCCTCGCCCGACGCCGCACCGTCCTAACCAACGCGCATGGTTCTGACCCAGAAAGCGCACCGGGAACAGCAGAAACGCCACGAAATTCGCAATTTCCGGGAAGCGCACGTGCTACGCGCGCGCGACGACGCGTTGGTTTGGATCGCGCTTTAGCTTTCCAACCGTTTAGCTGCCTAAATGACTGCGAACCAAACTCAATTAATTCAGAGGCCAGATTCCCAAAACTTTCTTACGACAAAAAAGTTTGTAAATTTATCTTACGACAACGTTACGAACTTTTGAGTATTCCCGAAGCAAAATGTTCGTAAGTTTTGCGTAAGTTACAACGAAATCCGTAACTTGCGCAAAACTTACAAACATTTTGCTTCGGGAATACTGAAAAGTTCGGAACGTTGTCGTAAGATAAATGTATGAACTTTTTTGTCGTAAGAAAGTTTCGGGAATATGGCCTCAGCTGTTTAAAACGTCATTGGAAGCTTATTTTAGACATTAAGTCTTACATCAATGTTAAAAAAAAAAAGACAAAACAAACGAAAAAAAACAAAAACGACAAGAACCAATGTGTACTGAAAAACCGAGCGGAACCAGGTTTAGAAAGAAGCGTTGACCAGACTACATAGCGGCAACCAAGTTCTTTGTCGCCAAACACACCTTTCGAGGTACTCACAATGCCGCTATGTAAATTTCTGAAATGTAAGGTAGTTCCGCTCTTAAGACCAAGCACGTGCACCACACACAAACCACACACACACTGTCAGTAACACCATTAGAGAAACCAACGAACGCGAATCTGTCATCCGCCGCCGTTTATGAACTCCTGAGTATGGTCACGGTGCCCTTATTTGTGCCGTCGCGGTGGCGCCCCCGGCGTCGTTTCTGCTCGCTGAACGAGCATCTGAATCCGAACGGACCAATTGGTGGATAAAACGGGGCCCCTCTTCAATCCACACACTCAACTGTTTTAGGAAATAGATTCTCGCGTGGGACGGGGATCAGAGACTGAGCAACCGTTTGCTGCGCCCACCCGTTACAAAATGGGCAAGCGGCCTCCCCGACGCATACTTCAAAGGGATCATGTTATCACTTTCACAGACCCGTTAAAACTGTTTTAATGGATCACGTGCTTTCCCGGATAAGATTGTCACAGACCCCACAGGCCTCCAAAAGCTATCACGGACATCTTGCACCATTCAGAAATTCTTGAAGAGATGTCAGGCATATTTGAAAACTTCAATGGACATTTCAAACTTCTCAGAAATTTTTTGAAGGGCATGTCGAGACCTTTCCGAAATCCTAGTGGGCCACACAGATTTTCAGTAGGAACCCCTCGACTCTTACGCCGTCTTCCGAGTGACGTGTGGAGTGTCGTGATTAAGGGGGACGAGAAGCTCCCGGTTGTATTCTCGAATGCGAACTCCCTTTGCTCTCCGGTACTGTGTGTTATTTCTGTAAAGTAAAGGTTACAAGTACTGTGTGTTATTTCTGCAAAATAAAATTCTAAAAAAAAAAAAAAAGCTCGGAGTGGTGCAGATTTTAAAGCGTCGTTTTTCTCATCTTTTGCAGCTATACTGACGTTGTACCTCATAAACATGTTGATGTTCGACGAGAGCACTGCAAAGTCTATATACCACGTCTTTATCATGGGCTGCTACTTCTCACCGGTGCTCGGAGCAATGATTGCCGACTCGTATCTTGGAAAGTTTAGGTCTGTATCGGATAGTCGTCGAGGTGATCTCGTGGCCCAGCTAGAACCACATTTCGAGAATTGATCCTTTCTTATACCTTCTCCCTGTGCTTGTCTTTGTTCTCGCAGGACCATCTTTTATATTTCCATAGTGTACGCCATTGGAAACATAACTCTGGCGGTTTCGGCAACTCCGCCACTGCTGGATCAAATGTGAGTAGCTTCACGCTCTGAAACGCTTGCGTGTGGAGATTGCACCGGGATGCGTTCGAGGAGCCAAACGTTTGTGTCCCTTGAGTCGGCGTAGCCGGTGGAGGGAGTGACAAGTATCGCGTGCTCTCAGCTATTTGGTCGCAGTAGTGCCCGTCTCTGGTATGTCCCGAACACGCTCTGCACGCACACCGTTTTTAGGCTCTCTCAGACTACGTGGTGTCATTTGACGTCAGGTTATACCACATGACACTATGACGCTATCGAGACTGCATGCCACGCTGGGGCACGGAAGCGGCAAGGGCTCACCCTATAAATGTTATTCATAAAAAAAAACAAAAAAGAACGTCCTCTTCTTATCTCATTGGGAACAAATTGTAGAGCTCAACGAGGGACCTTGTTCGTGTCGCTGGTGTCATTTTTTTATTATTGCCAAGAGAAACTACCAGCTTGAGAACGAAAAAATATCCTGAAGATTAAAATTACAAATTCAATAGCTTCGTGAAAGAACGTTATTTCTGTTTAAAATCTGGGCTTCTAGGTCACCGATGTTAGCAGGTGTGTTTACTCAATTTTGAGGCAAAACGGTGATCCTGAAAAAACCGCCGGAGCTCTCCTTTAGTCGGCTCGATCGACAGTTTGAGCCGATGTGTAGCCGATCACATGCAGTCAACAACGCAAATTCGTGGCGCTCGTCGCATTTCAGCATGGACAGGAGCCGTGACCTCGCCCTTTGAGTCCGTACGTTTGTGCTTGCGTGTCATATTGACTTTGGCTCCGACTTCAGGTGAAACTAAGTATAGTTTGATTGTGGCGCACTAGAGATGGTCAATTGACCCAATAGGTGCACAGTCCTGTACAGAAAACCAAGGACACATCTAAAACGCATTACGGAGTCTGTCTCGCTGATTGGTACCAATCAGCGAGATTGGGTGTGAATAGGGGAATTTTTTTTGTCTTTCTTGTAGATACCTTGTATGTCTCCTCGGCTACGGCCGCTCGATCCCCTCCGCTACTGCTACTGCAGAAGCGTCCTGCCCATGGATCTCGTCCGTCGGAGGCGATAGTTCTTTATGCCGTAGCTCTGCCGGCCGTGGCGCTTGCTAGCGAAAGACAGTTTCTCGCCCACCCGGCTCCACCCGCCAAACGCATGAACCTCGGCCGTATTTCTTGATCGTATTTTCTTGCGTTCGAGGTGATATATGTGTTAATTTTTAATCGGACGGTCTCAATTTAATCACGCGCTAGATCTCCTATTGAACACTCTGAAAATTACCGCAGGATTAAGACGCATAAAGACAAGCGTCCTACGCTACTTCAAAGACGTTGGTTGCATGTAAGATGGATACGAGAGAAATTGTGTCGGCATCGCAGTCGGCCGCAGCAATTTTTGCTTTCTTCCTACCTTGTAGTCTCATTTAAAGTAGCACGCAACGGTCCTAGATTTTGGCTGCCACTGGCTATCCTTGTCGCTGCCTTGCCGTGAGATGTTCTGTAACCAGGCATCCCGAAGGCTTCCTTCGCACGGCAGCTCGTGGTACTGCAGATCGGGGTTTCCTGCCGCTTTCGATTTGCAGCACGGCACGCAGCAGGTTTTAAGAGGTGCGTGCCTCACAATTCACAGGGAACCTTTGACTATTCAAATGGCATTAAAGAACGACAGATAAATTGTACGAGCGCAGATAAACACCGTGGAGGGGCAAGAGCGCCTCGAGTTTGGCTGCATTTTCAACTTGAAATGTGGGGCGTCGGGATCGTTCTTACCGCGGTGTCTTCAATCTCTGTGGAGGGGCGCAAATCGGAAGTGTGAATGGATGGTCCGTGTTGGAGGCAGAATGACAGACACTGCCTTAGAACAGCAGGACGGAGGTCCCTAAAGAAGAAGACGCCAAGGAAGATGCTGGGTAATTGAATTATCCAGCAGGTAATTACAATGACCAATTTGGAATTTCAATCAGTGCCGGGAGACGCGATTGCGGCAAGGATCTTAAACTGGTTTGTGCAGTGACCCCAGATTCCCATTTCGACGGGTAACGCGACTCAAAGGCGAACGTTTATGATGGTTCACTTCGAATATTTTGACGCCTGGCACGGCCCTTCCATTCCCAAGGTATGAGAAATGACTTAATACCTTAGGGAAAGTATGTTTAAGCATATGATTACCACAGCTTTTCCTTGAGCACGTGGCAGTCCAGACATCAGATGAAGAAAGATATTCCAAGGTCCAAAGCTCGTTTGTATGCTAGACCAAAGTTATAATGATAAAATTACTTATTTGAATAATTCCCAATTTTTCGAATAATAGGGTTGTATCAGTATCGAACCTCTGATTACATATTAAAGGATTTACACTCTTCTGCGACACATGGAGAAGATGCATATTTGAAACAATGATGTTTCCCTGTACAAAAAAGTAATTAAAACAAGTAGAAGACAAATGTATAAATAAGAGAACAGATGAGGGAAATGTATTTATATCTTGAGTATGGTATCTACAATTCTAATAGCATTCTATATATCATTTCAGCTGCTTCGTCCCACCGCGCTATTTGTTAAGAATTACACGAAGACCATTGCCGTTTTATGATATTTATGAACGACATGAGTCTATTGAGAGAGTCTAATTATATTAATGTTTATTATATTCGGCCTAAACAAAACAGCTTTTACTGACGAATAAAAACCAATCCACACATTAAGAATTTCTAGAAACATATTGTTCGTAACTATATTTTCAGAAATGCTCTATCTCGAAAAAAATTGCGGCTTTTATCTACATGTTTGCTTTGTTACTAATCTTTATCGAGTCATTGATAATGAGCACGCAAAGGCCCTGGCTCTTGGCTGCATCTGACTCTCTTTGTCGGGGCCTTGTCGAAAAATGTTCCGCTACCAGGCATCCTGAAGATTTCCGTTGACGACAGCTTGTGCATGTGTGTGTTTCTTGCCATACTTGATTTGCAGCACGGCACGCTACAATATTTAGGCATTGCGTGCTCCGTAATTCACTTGAAAACTTATCAACTGTCTAAATGACACTTAAAACGACAGAAAAATCGACCCACTACCAAGAACGCAGATAAACGCTGTGGAGCACCAAAAACGGCTGGATTTTGACCGCGTTCAACGCCTCCACCATGGATTTTGGCTTTCGCGGTCTCACCCACATGCAGCACCCCCACTATCCGTCACGGTAGACGAACGAACGCTCTGTTGTTCGTGGGAAGATTCAGCGGGCCGCTCTTGGAGGAGCGTGAGAGGAGATCGAGGGGCTGTGCCTCCGCTTTCCTTTTCCACGTGCTCCAAACGTACTAAAATTCTTGGCTTGATATCTAACTCCCCTTTTTTTTTTTGTTACTTCTTTGCTTTGCAGCTGGATACCTATGGTGGGCTTGACGGTGATCGCGTTTGGAACGGGTGGCATCAAACCATGCGTTGCTGCTTTTGGTGGAGACCAGTTCGGTCCTGGTCAGGTGAGTATTTATTTCTCTATCGGAACTCTACAAAGCGCTGCTTCGAACGCGGATACGGCCGAAAATTCTGATAGCACCCTCTTTACCCAGTCGGCGTGGGTAGCGAAGGACGCGTAAAAGAGGTATTAAGAGAGAAGGCTCTGCGTGTTCTCCACTTAGATTGGAGGGGTTCATACCTTAATGATAGGGTTCAAAATGGGAGGATCCGGGAGAGGATATATTTGCAAGAGCATAAGACGCGAAGTGCGCGTCGCTCTAAAGGTCTATTTCCTACCTGCCTCTCTGATGACTGTTCTGTTATGAGACTACGATAGAGCTTGTAAGGGTTACGGCAGAAGAGTCCAGAAGCCGGTTAGTACTTGTGCGAGAACTTAGAAAGGCGAGGAGCAAACTAAGGGGAATAGAGGACTTTCTGCTGGCTCGAAAATTGATTTGCTTCAATGAGATTAATCTCTCTATCTCTCTCTCTCTCTCTATATATATATATATATGGCAAAAGTAAGGTGCGCGGTCACAGCAGCCGTAGGATGATAAAAAATAAAATTCCAATTTAATGGCGAAAAACGTCACGCAAGCAAAAAAGAGGCTGAAGTGTCAAAAAAAAAAAAAGGCTTGTATTAGTTTACGGGAATAATGATGATGATGATGAAGAGCAGGGACCGCTCTTCATCACCTGATGAAGAGCGGTCCCCGCTCAGAACGTCGAAATAAACCTCGAATTAGTATCTCCGACAGTACGGATCTTTGACTTGTTAACTTTTCCCGGTCCATTGCTTTTATATTTACCTTACTTCCACCTATATATATATATATATATATATATATATATATGTATAATACGAGGTCCAGGGCTTGGCTGCCGAAAGTTTGTATATAATAAAGAGCCACTTCAAAAATTTAACTCCTTTACTTAGACGTTTCGACCCGAGACGGGTACCCGTCTTGGGTCGAAACGTCTAAGCAAAGGAGTTAGGTTTTCGAAGTGGCTCTTTATTCTATATAAATATAAAGTAATGAAGTCTCACTTCGAAACGTTGTTGGAGTTTTAAAGCATTTAGTGAGTCGACGTTTCGGCCTGAGACAGGCCTTCTTCAAGACTGGTTGCCGCCAAAATCGGTTACAGAGTTGTTTTCGGTTTCCACACGCGGGTCGCGTCACGTGTCAGGTCACCTGTAAAAATGCCCAAGTAAACAACGCTGCTATACTCGGTCCCACTCCCCGCCCGGCCGCAGCAGACGCCGCCAGCCATCGGAGCCAACCAAAGGCCGCGTCAGTTCTCGTGACCCCGGGAACGGAGCGCCGTCACGTATGTTCCTGGGCTCCGTTACGAGGGTCACGGAAACTGACGCGGCCTTTTTATTCTATTTTTTATTTATTTATTACCTACTTCGCCCAGTGGGCATTACAGTAAAAGGTGGGTGGGGGGATAGTACATGAGAAATAGCGCAGAACAGCAAAATATACAGAAGATGCCATATATATATATATATAAAAAAAACACAAAATTCTCAGTACAGTGCTAACAAACAAAAAATTCATACAGCAAAGAATGATGGTCACCTTACATCAACGTGATAGTGTCAAAAAAGGAGCAACCAGAAGAAAGTTCTACTTAGGCACCCGGGAGCGTATTCCATTCGTGCATCGTCCGGGGAAAAACCGAATACTTTAGGACATCAGTCCTTGCACAGAATTCTCGAATTTTTTGGAATTATCTACCCTGCGGGAAATGTAGGAAGGCATTATACAATATTTTGACTTATCTAGACCTGTGTTCCCATAATAAAGATTGTGCAAAAACTTTAAACGTAGACATTTCCTTCTAAACTGCAAAGATTTCCATCCCAGTGTGCGCTTAATTTCTGATGAGCTTTCCCTCAAGTTATAATTATCTGAAACAAATCTAGTTGCTTGGTTTTGAATCCTTTCTACTTGATTAATATATGTTTGCGTAAGCGGGTCCCACACAATACACGCGTATTCTAAGATCGGTCGAACGTACGAGAAATAAAGAGCCTCTTTCAGGTCTGCAGAAATTTGCCGAAAGTTGCGACGGAGGAAATGTAACATGCCGCTAGCTTTAGAACATAAACCCGTGACGTGATCATTCCATCTCAAATCATTGGACAACAGCACTCCAAGATATTTTGCCTCAGTAACAAGATCCAAAGGTTGGTTACCTAGAAGAAAAACTGAAGGAACTACTTCATGTTTTCTTGTAAACCTAACATGGTAACATTTCGATCTACTATACGAAACATCTTCCATCTGTCGCACCACCCAGAAATGCTATCTGGGTCACTCTGTAGAAGTTCAACATCTCCGCGTATTTCTTTATACAAAACACAATCGTCCGTATACAACCTGATGTGAGATGAGATTCCGTTTGTAATATCATTTATAATAATTAGAAAAAGAAGGGGGCCTAAAACTGAACCTCGTGGTACACCCGATGTTACGGCTACATATGATGAGTGAATTCCGTTAATTACAACACGTTGTTTCCTGTCACCGAGATAATTTGCTATTCATTGCACGACTTTTGTATCGATGTTCAGACTACGCAGCTTGTGAAGCAGAAGCGAGTGGTCAACTACATACGCTTTCTTAAAATCCAAAAAAAATACAATCAGTTTGAGAGGCCTTATCAATCGAATAAGCAAGGTCGTCATAAAATTTGAGTAATTGTATATTACATGATAAAGCTTGGCGGAAACCGTGCTGGACTGTAGAAAAGAAGTTATGGTTATTTAGATGACGCGCAAGACTTGAATAGATAACATGTTCCATTATTTTGCAGCATTCACTCGTTAGTAATATTGGCCTATAGTTACTTACATCTTTTCTCGCCGTTCTTGTGTATTGGAACTACATTTCCGGTTTTACAGACATCACGGAGAGAGCCGATTTCTAACGATTTTGAGTATAGTATGATAAGACATGACGCGACGATATCAGCACATGATTTCAAAACTATGTTGGGGATTCCGTCCGATCTGGTGGCCTTTCCCAGTCTGATATTGCTTAATAATTTACGTATGCCATTATGATCAAAGGTAATGTCGTCCATAGCATCATTAATTACGTCAACAGTTGGCGGTAGAGGCGCAGGTGTTAAAGTTGAGAAGACAGACCTGAAATACCCATTGAATGCGGCTGCTTTTAAGCTGTCGTCTGTTACAAGAGCGTTGTCAATCAAGTGGAGGGACACCCGCCAAATCCTTTCGTTGAGATTTAACATATTTCCACAGCTCATTAGGGCAATCTTTAATTTATTGACCAAACGAGGAGAAATAATCAGGCTTTGCATTTTTTTATTTTAGTTTTGAGCTTTCGTTTAAGCTCCTTAAGATGACCGCGTGTAGATGAATCGTTAGTGTTTTTATACCGTGCGAAAATACGCTTATCTCTATGTATTGAACGTTCGATTTCCGGACTCATCCAAGGCTTATCTTGCTGGCGTCTCGCCCTGACTATCTTAGCTGGTACGTAAACGTCAAGCAGTTCATTTATCTTATCCTTAAATAAATTCCACATTGCGTTTAATCGGTACATACACTTTGCACCTCAAACCGAGGTAAACAATCCATGAGATCAAAACTTAGGCCATCAAAGTCAGCTCTGCCGAACATGTAAACCTTTTTTGGTTGGCTTTTATATCGTAATACATTTGGACATTGTATTGTCGCTACAACTGCTTCGTGGTCGCTTTTGCCTGGTATTACAGAAACAGAGGTGAAAGTTGACGGCCTATTACACAAGAATAAGTCCAAGACAGTTGATCGGCTGGCACTGGTTCTGGTGAGCTCAGTGACAAACTGATAGAAATCAAATTCATTACCAACATTTAAAAACGTTGAATAGAGACACGACGAATGAGTCGTAACGGGATGATAATTTACCCAAGATACATCTCCAGGATGTAGAAATCCCCACCCAAAACTACATTTCCCGGTGCTACAACGGACATCGCATTGTACAGCGACGTAAGAGGCTGCGCCGTGCTCGACGGAGGCCTATAGAACGCGCCTACCGTCAAATATTCACCTTGAGAAATCAAAATCTTGCAGCACACTGCTTCACAAAACACACCATTAATGTCTACTGGAGAGCTATGTAAGTTCTGGTTAACAAGCAAGAATACACCACCACCTTGATTATGTCTATCAGCTCGGTAAACGTTATAGTTCGAAGGAAATACTTCCGTGTCAAGGAGAGAGGCGTCAAGCCATGATTCGGTTCCGATAACGGCATCGGGTGTGGTGACCGAGATAAGACCAGAAAGATTGTCCGTTTTGTTTTTTATACTTCGGCAGTTGACGATAAGAAACGTAAGGTTGTTTACTAATGCGGCTCTTGCCACAGAACTGCTTTGTAATTGCTAGCGATTGCAATCCACAACTGATGCAGAACTTTCGTCATACATGTACAGTCGGCCGTACAAAAGATTGACACAAGAGAGCGATGGCCTGGCCGGCGATAAGGCGACACGGGGCGCTTCGATAGCGTAAGCACGCTGGGGTCGTGATTGCCGGATTAGTCCACTCTTGGATGCACGGGGGACGTCGACACGCCGGAGCCGTGCCCAAAGCGCGCTTTCGAAACACAGCGTGACTGCGCACATGTGTTCTGTTCTTTCTTGCTCGGTGAGAACAGCGCTATCCTTTTTTTTTTCATCGCATCGCATCACACTGCGATCAAATTCAGACTTTTTTTTATTACAGCTTTCTATACTTTTTCTTATTGATTGTGTTGCGATTTGAAAGATTCGCATTTTTATAGGGAAAATACTCCCGTCTTCCACGCACAAATTTGAAACAGCAAATAAAATAAATATCACTGTGAAGACTTTGTTTATTACAACGAAAAAAAGCGTCGTCTCACGCGTGACTCGTCACCCTCAAAAACAGGCCGCACGTAAAAAAAAAAAAAAAAAAAAAATCACAAACGATAACTATATCTATTTATAATTCAATTAAATGCAAAGGTGCAAGCGAGCTGGACAAGAATGATGAAAATAATCCCTGGAGAAGGGGAACAAGAGGGACAAAGGACAAACATAAATCTTCAAACACAGCTAGGTGACTGGTGAGCGACCGAAAAAATCCGCCTGGTCCGGGTATCGAACCCGGGACTTCTCCATTACAGGTGGAGCGCTCTACCAACTGAGCTAACCAGGGGTTAGACGTCAGTGGAGCAAACGGGTTTTATCAGTTGCCACCAGTCTAACACCAACAAGGGTGGAGCTTGCAAGTTAAGGTTGTAATTATAATGCAATTAAATGCAAAGGTGCAAGCGAGCTAAACAAGACTGATGAAAATAATCCCTGGAGAAGGGGAACAAGAGGGACAAAGGACAAACATACACCTTTGACACTGTTTGGGCAAGGCACCGACAAAAGAAATGGATTTGAACTACGACAGGTAGTGTTATGACGCAAAGGACTAGCCTAGAGCAAGAAGAAACGTGAGCATACGGGATGCACGTCGGCGCCAAGCCCCATCGGTGAAGCGGCGTGACGCCCCTTTTCAAAGCTTGAATCTGACGATAAGGTCCCCCGTTGCCAGACGATTCCTTCGTAGATGGTCAATCCTGACGGCAGCCGATCGTCCGAAAACGAAACTGTCGTCGGAGCACAAATGGAAGGACACGGTTCTTCGTTGGGCCTCAAAGGTGTACCCGGGGCTGTGTGCTGCGCTGGTTTCATGAAGGAGTGCGGAAACCTGGAGCAAGAACAAGCGTGAGCATACGGGATGCATGTCGGCGCCAAGGCCCCTTTGGTTGGCTCCGATGGCTGGCGGCGTCTGCTGCGGCCGGGCATAGAGTGAGACGGAGTATAGCAGCATTTTTTACTTGAGCATTTTTACACGTGATCTGACACGTGACGCGATCCGGGTGTGCAAACCGAAAACAACTCTCTAACCGATTTTGCCAACCAGTCTTGAAGAAGGCCTGCCTCAGGCCGAAACGTCGACTCACCATATGCTTTAAAACTCCAACAACGTTTCGAAGTGCGACTGCATTACTTTGTAGACTGCGGCATCCTGCGCTATATATATATATATATATATATATATATATATATAATTTTTTTAAGCAAAAGGCCCGTATTAACGTGCCGTAGACTGCAGACGGGCACAATAGGAACTCGCTCTTAGCATGGGAAAGACGATGACTGGCAACGTAACGGTGTGCCCACGACATTTCTTTTCCAACAGCAACTACTTCTTAGCTAAGAGATTGGTGATACGCGATAATTTATATCTATTTTGGCTTGGCGGCAGTCAAGTTCCTCGAAAAAAAGAAGAAAAAAAAGCCTCATATGGAGATAAACACGCGTAAAGAATGCATGCGCTCTAACGCTTCCTTCATCGCCTCTTTACATTTTTTGTCGTGCGGCCTGCAGCTCATCAGTGGTGCAGTTCGTGTGCTTGAACTTGCATGAGGCGCTCACGCAGTCCGGTGGTTTCGTCGGTGCACGACTGAATACTAAAAACAAACCTAGTCTAATTTCTCGCTTAGCCAGGGAGTGTTCAAGAGTGACTTGGCAAATGACAAAACTAAAAAAAAAATATAGTATTAGAAAATGTATTTGGATGTGGCACTGAGCATGACGCAAACACCGTAAAGAACATTCATTCTCTCACCGATTTCTCTGCGGGAAAATCGACGCGTTTTATTTTTTACATTAGGAAAAATAACATTTTACGTTGATTGCCGCCGCACTTTGTTTTTGTCGGTCAACTCGTTTGGTCAATCGAGGCTTCGACAAATATGGCGGTTGGGCCACCTGAGCCAAGTGGGACTCGTCCTAGAAGGAATATGGCAACCGAATTTATTTTGTTTGCTGTACTCTGGGAATGAACGAGTGCCTCTATTCACACTGAAGAAAAAAGCACGTATGTTCTATAAAAAAAAAGGAATCTTCGTTATACATGCAATGCACTCGGGATGCCGTTTCAGTGGCAAACATGCATCCATTTTTCTCCAGTGGAGATTGCATGGCCATTTGAGGTCGAGCACCTTTTCCGGTCAACAAGGCGCACCGTTCTATAACACCAGTTGAAACGGCTCACGAGAAAGTTGCTACGCCACACCTTCGGACTAGTCGCACTTCAGTGTGCACTTTCAGCGGACAAACTATAAGCCCGCATATCTGTATGGTTTCGAACCGTTTTCAAAGCGCTGGAAGACCAGGCCGAGCGCTTTCAATGCTTTGCTGTTCCTCTTTTGTCGCAAATGTCGATAGGACCGACGTCTTGCACAATTCAAGTGCATACTTATAGAAAAGACACAAAAAAAACGCGTATAAGTCGAAAAACGCAGACAAATGGCTGCTTGCTTCAATATTAAAAGTATAAACAGCCCAGCGACACGGACGGAGTTAAAAAAGACTGACAAACAACTGAGCTGGCTTACAACTAAACTTTGTTCTGAAGACATCAGGTGGTGGCACATACTACATGTTTTGCAACCAAACAAGTCAGGGAAAGAAAATATATAACAGATAGACGTCACGTGCTCCTAAAGCAATTCGCGCGCTGTGCCTTATTCGACATAAGAGGCAAGACCTATCCGAAAGGGACAGTGAAGAAGAGTATATATATTGCGTCCTTAATTGGTCAATCTTGCCTTCTTTTATAAATAGAAGAATATGAGAGTATCATATTAACCGGAATAATTGAAGCAGGCGAGATCGGGCAGTAAGGGCCGGTATGTGTCAGCGCTTTTTCACTCTCATTGTCAGATAGGGAGTGTTACTTTATAAGTCCACCGTGCGCAAAGGACTTTAGAAGCACGTGACCCGTATCTGTTCTTTTTTACTGCCCTATAGTATAAACAGTTCTCAGGTGGGAAAAATTATTTTATTAAAAAAAAAAAAAAGCAAATATATCCGACTTAGTTGCTTTAGATCTGATTTACTTAATTTAGATCAGATTCATCTGGTTGAGACAAATAATTCTTTATCACTAGATGCATTTTTAAATATGAGAGAGTGATAAATTCGTCTCATCATCGAAAAGAATGAGGATTCAATAATTGCCGTTAGATCATATTTGTAAAGTACATTTTAATTAAGAAACTTTGATGCGAGCGCCACCATACCAGAAGAAAAACACCATAACTCTTATAGCTAATAAAGGAAAACAGTAGTTGCATTTTTTGTGTGTGCTCTGATGTGCTTGCAATAGGACATTACTTTCATTGTTGTTGATGTTTTCTGTTTTCTTGCTGCTTTTTGATTTTTTTTTTTTTAGGGCATTATGTAATTGACGAACGAAGTGGACGGTGAAAAGAAAGTTCAACGCTCTGATTTGCTAGCACCGCTTTCTGTTCGTGTTCAACCTGCTATAACACTTTATCGCTCGATGATGTTTTGATTTAAACACAAAACAAATGCACATAGAAAGCATCAAATGATAGACGAACGTTAAATAAAATTATGTTTTGGGATTATATTTGAGAGAAAAATTTGATGTAAATCATCATAGTAAAAACTGTGTTATTTAAATCACGATTTAAATCATCTTGATTTGCACACGCCTTTCGATCTCCACACCTTGTATAGCTGATCAGTGGTTGGTATGGCGAGGGCATTGCGAGGCGGTATGCGTGCAGGCCTTTCGGAGGGTGTACTTATTTCTTGACGTTCTTGTAAGTCCGTACGAGAGTGAGGAATCAAATAAATGAGCGGTTGTCTGCGTAACATTCCATAATTCGCTAAAACCAAACGCTTTGTATTTGAAAGGCTGAGAAGAAAAAGACATCTTTCTGTTCTCAGGTTGCAGAAATAAACCGATGAGTGAGTCTGTGAGCTGCCGTGGGGGTATTATTGAAAGGAGACTTATTGCGTAGGTGAACTGATGCACGCCCATGCTCAAAAATACCCCAAAATACCCCCCCCCCCCCCCTTCAAAAAAAAAAAAAAAAAGACGAAGAGCAGAGTAGCTTTTGTCCGCTTTTCATTTTCCACCCGTGTCGGAGCGAGATCGACACATGAAAGTTTTCAACAGCATCTTACCGCTTTTATTTTGCAGGAAAAGCAACTGGAGCAGTTTTTTTCGTTATTCTACCTGTCCATCAATGCCGGAAGTTTGCTGTCAACGTTTATAACACCCATTCTTCGAGGTAATATTTGAGTTACTTCGTTGGACGAGGACACGATTACTGGGCGCCTCTATAAATGCGGCAGTTGTCCGGAGTGCCTACAAGCAGCCTTTTTTGTTTTATTTCAGTTCAGAAATGTATGGGGCAGATGTATTGCTTCCCGCTGGCCTACGGCGTTCCGGCAGCTTTGATGGTCGTTGCTCTCGGTGAGTACCTGCCCCGCTTTAAAGTACCGGCCATGCATTTATGAGCGGGCTCGCAAGTATGGCTTCTTGCTCAGGTTCGTCGGGCGGAACTCTCATATATCGAGCGTCTTGTTTTGTGTCGTATTTAAATTATACAGCTTCCATTCTAACATCTGTGCAGTGTACGATACACTTGTCACTTCAATTTACACGCTACCTCAAGACGACGCTTCTCCGAGTCGCTAAAATGGGCTGAGAGGGGAGGGGGGCATCGTGAAGTGCGACTGAACTGAACCAGTCAAGCTTCGGATTTTATTTTTAGATACCCAATCTTTTTGGTATCAAAATGAAATCAAATGCTTCGGTTGAAACAAAAGGCCTAACAAATCCGACGAAATGCTTCAATGAAACCAGATGCCACAACGTTGATCACACGACACGGGGGTTACGGTGGTTCGCTGTAGCTCGAAATGTCGTTCCCAAGACGGGAAAGAGGAATAAGGCGATCTCAGCAATCCCGATCAACGCATGGGTGCGTCCATTCCATTTCAGTTTTGTTCGTGATTGGAAAGCCCATGTACAAAATGGTCCCACCCGCTGGAAATGTGGTTGTACAAGTCATGGGATGCATATTCGTAAGTTAACTCACATTGACCTCGGTATGGACGCTTTATAGCATCTCTGCATGGGTGTCGCCATCTTGCATGACATGACCCTTTCGCCATGGCTGACCTCCACATTTTTTTTTTAAATTTGTTTTACATAGTATCAGTCCTATGTAGGAGTGTAACAGGTGTGGGTTAATAAATAATACATAAACACAACTATACAACACATCACCACTCAGCTATTACAACAATACCACAAACTACAAATATTTAGCGACCGTGACACAAGAAAAACAATCCTAGAAATACAGTGAGTCATCATTGTACATATAAATTCGAGCGCGAGTGGACATTCCCGTCTGTGGAGTGCGTTTTTGACGTACCCGCCACCCCCAGAGCTTTATTTTCGTGTTTATTTCCTGTGTACATTGAGTTACGTTGTGTTTATATATTCGTACATTTGATGCCCCAGGTAGCGATTTATTATTTTTTTAATTCATGTATTGTCTTTTTTATCCGTATTTATTGAATAGCATCAGACTGCGAATCAGTCGTTGACATAAGAATATTGCCAGAATAGTACGTTATTCTAAGCGGTCGTGTACCGACGCCTGGGCTATCAGCTTCTGTATTGAAAAAGTGGAATGATCTTAAGGCGCAATGTTGGCCCAAATTCTTCACATTTCGCTAAAATGTACAAGAATGCAGCAGAGTAAGCGCGTTGGCGGAAATATCACATCACTGTAATATGTGCGAATCATATGAGAGCGGGCGGTCGTCAAATGTTTGTGATAAGGCAGTGCGTACGCTCTACGGCAATGTTTACAAATCTAAGATTTGTCGGATTTGCTTGCACGATCTAACCTAACGTGACAAATATTCGTGTCACTGATAAGATAAGGAGGGAAGGGAGGTCTTTCAATTGTCCTGCATGCCTTCACAGCGATACCTTCGCTAACACTCGCGTCTCGTGAGCTTCGAACATGAACGAGTGGTCAAAGCACGACGGGAGGCAACAAACCTTGTGCTGGAAGCCGGATATCCGAAAGAGACGCCCTGTCGTTTTCATCCTGTCAGTGATTACTATAATCACTGACAGAATTCACACTGGATGTCGTCAGTTCCCGTGACTTTTACAAGTGCCAGAAATCGTTTTGCTTGAGCAAGAAAATGTCATGCAACTTTAGGAGGTACATCCTCTTATTTTTATACACTATGTATAAAAATAAGAGGATGTACCTCCTAAAGTTGCATGACATTTTCTTGCGCAAGCAAAACGATTTCTGGCGCTTGTAAAAGTCACGGGAACTGACGACATCCAGTGTGAAGTGCGTAAATTAACATGCCTTTCGTAGTTAATGACGCCCCTGGACTATCGCACTATCGGTGATTTGATGGTACAGCCATCGAAGTGTCAAAGGAACCATTCTCGACAACGCGTTGTTCGTGCTTCATTTAATTAGAGTCGGAGCATTGAAACTGCAATTAAATATAGACAGTCCTCCATAGGCACCAGTGTGCCATGTTTAGTGCACGCAGCGTGGTGCCTGACGTTAATGTCGCCACCGCAGTTTTTGCAAGCTACCACTGAACGTGTTTTCGCGCTGGACGTGTTTTACGCGTCTCATTGTGATCGACCATCGCACGGTAGCGGCCGCAAACGACGGCTCCTGGAGGCTGGAAGAGCAGGCGCCGTCAAATTTGGAGGTCAGCAATGGCGGCTCGAAGGGCCCGCCGACTGGTGGCGACTCAGGTAGCTCATGCAAGAAGAACGTCTGTACTCTGATTGATTACTGACCTATGTTTCTCGCGCTACGGCGGACCCTGCAAAGTCGGCTTCTTCCTTCTCTCTTTTTTTTTTTTGTTTTGTTTCCGCAGCATGCCGTATCTGTACGGTTCAAATCCAAAGAGAAGAAGGCCCACTGGTTGGACTACTCTGAAGACAAATACGACGTGAGTTATAAGCAGTCTTTTCTTTATTTATGTATAGTTCTGCATCAGCCGACTTTTGCGTTTCGACGGCCGTTTGTCGTGATTAATTTATCTCTCTATATTTCACCTAGCTCCATTTCCGTCAGTACAGGGGACGCGGGTCGACAGTTGCGTGAAGTGCACACAATGCCCGCTAATGAACTAAACACTTTAGAAGCTCATTACGATTTTTAAACGTCGCATATAAGCGTATATATATATATATATATAAATATAAATAAAATAAAAACACAAACAAGAGAGTGAAAGTATGTTAATCATTCTGATAATGTCCGGAGACAATGTGCCGCGTGTTTGGAGCTGCCCTGGGTGTTTATGTGCGAGCCTTTCTAAGCTCGGAAGACACGCTGCACATAACGTGTCTTCCGACCTTATTCGTAGGATTAAGATTAATTTAAATTTATTCTGGTGCCGTGGGGACGGTGTCTTCATCTCTCTTTGAAAGTCGAGATCTCAATTTATTCCGACTGACCTACGAGGAGCTGCCGTTTGTACCCTTCGTAGGTCAGCCGCGAACGTCACTTGAACACGTATAATAAAGCTATGGGGCCACGTGCAATGACGTCAAGGGACCACATGAAATGACGTCACGTGATACCTCTGCGTCACGTAGCTATAGCCTACGCGATACTGTAGCGTGTAGTGGTTACACAATCACGCAACCTATTGTGATTACGTCCTCACGTAACCTATAGTGATTACGTGATCACTTGATAACTCCTACCAGTGGGGCGTCCAAGTTTTTGTGGCACGCGAACAGATTGCTTAAAAACTGCTGCGCTAGCATAGGGGCTATGGAATGAAATTACTGAGAGAGAGGTCGTTAGTTTGATTCCCGCCAACAGACAGTCTTTTTTAAAGAGGACTGCCCGTGATATTATAATCTCTGACATGGCAACCCTGGAGCCGTGGTGAAGAACGGACGTAGGACAGACACAAAACTCCAAACGCAGCTGTGCTTGGAGTTTTGTGTCTGTCCTAGGTCCCTACTTTTTTCCGGCTCCAGGGTTACCATGTCAGTATTGAACCAGCTCGCCTGCACCGTTGCTTTAGTATTATAATTTCTTTACATAGATTCGTGACACTCGCTTAGAAATGAGCACTAAAATAACACGCCCTTTGTTAAAAGAAGATGGCGCTCTGGTGAGCAACGTCTTGTGAAATTACTTGCTTCGTTCGCGAGAAGTTGTTAATCAGGAAGGAAATGTTCATTTAAAAGCAAGGTAATAATTTGTGCTAGTTGGTACATAACAGTGAAATAGTAAAACAGCGCATTTAAAAAAAAGACAAAGGGATGAGATGGACACAAACGAGACTGTCAGTAACAGGGTATTGCCATGAAGCGTTGTTCAGAGTGCGCGGTCACCTCATTTCAACTCCGCTATCCGCATGAGAAGGGGACTAACAATAACAACAGAGAGACTTGAAAACACGGTGTTGTCTCTCTTTTTTGTTCCATGAGCCCATTCTTGTGCCGATTAAGGATTTCGATCTGATATTTCTTACTGCTCCTTCTTCAAGTTTGCTGCGGTGGGAGACGGCCTCTGCATGTAACCGGTTAATGGATCTTTTTTTATTTTTACAGAAATCGCTGATTTCAGACATTAAGGATCTACTTCATGTCCTCGTTTTATACGTACCGCTTCCTATCTTCTGGGCTCTGTTCGACCAACAGGTGCGTATTCTAACCAGGTTTGGTGTTGTTTTGCTTGTATGTCTTGCGGAACTAAAATGAATTCTTTGAGTTTTTAATTTGTGCTTCATCTCGAGAGTTGTGCATTGGTTTCTGAGAGGTATGAGCGCGGGGGCAAACCTTCTTTGAAGCTGCTTTCCGTGTTCGAGTTTTCGCATAGACCAAGCATTTGGCACAGTTCTGCTCTCGCGCCTGAAACTTTCACAACGCTTTACAGAACTTATAAGACGGAGTGTATCGGGGTGTTTAAAACATTTAGTATAAGGTGTTCCACTTAAAGTGCACCAATCTTAACATAATAAAATAACCCAGCGCTCCACGCCAGCTAAAAAGACCTTATGACGTAGAACACCTCTAGCAAAAGTGCCAGCCCGTTTCATATTAAGCCTAAATCAATATATAGGGTGGTCCAAGTCACCAGGCTCGATCTAAAATGGACCGTAAAAATCGACGCCTGCACGTAGCCATCTAAACGTTTCGTCAAAAATGTATTTCACAGGTCTTTTTTTTTTTTTTTTTTTGTAAATTTACAAAGCGTAGTTCTCTTTCTGTAAAAAATAAGGCCAAGAAACTTGCCAGAGTCTACGGCGGGCAGCGACGCAGACGACAGGGGTTCAGTAGCGGGGTATGTTTCGCGTTCGTATTGAGAGATGGGGTCGGGAGCAGCGTCCGAAGGTGCAGCCGGCCAGCGAAGGAAAGCAGACGACACGCAGACGAAATACGTTGGCAGCAAAAGCGCCGCCGTTACGCAGACGCGTTTTTTTTTTTTACTTTAATTTTTGCTTTTATTGTCCGCATTTATTTTTTATCCGAAGGTACATTTCAAAAAGATTATGTTCATTTTAATAAACCACGGTGGTCGCGATCCGTCGCGACAAGGAGGTAGCGCTATCCACCAATACGAACGCCAAACACACCCCGCTACTGAACCCCTGTCGTCTGAGTCGCTGCCCGCCGACGGCGTAGACCCTGGCAAGTTTCTTGGCCTTATTTTTTACAGATAAAGAACTACGCGTTGTAATTTTACAAGGAAAAACAGACCTGTGAAATTACACCTTTGCCGAAAAGTTTAGATTGCTACGTGCAGGCGTCGATTTTTACGGTCCAATTTAGATCGACCCTGCACTCTAAAAAAAATATGTGCGTCTACTTTCCCGCGCAACACTCGGAGAACCAATCAGCGCGACTTACAGAGGCAGCTCAGTGAATGACGATGCCGAAACATATGTTTAGACAAGGGTGTAAGATAGACATGTGGGGAAACGGCCCATAGAAGCCTACCGCAGCGCCGTGACCGGATTGTTTACTCGTCTGCTGGCGGGTACCCCCGATTTGCGACAGATGGCGCTGCGGCGAGAGGAAAAAAATTGGAATCGGATTTGCATGGAACTCTATGGGAGAGTACGCAAAATAAACCGAAAGCACGACAGTTGAAAATCCACGAGAAATCATTTCCGTCAGTTTAGCCGGTCGCCACCGGTCGCCCACCCGGAGTGAGAGTTCGCGGTGCTCCACATAGATGGCGCCACAGAAGAAGAGAAAACCGAGGGGGACACAGTCCGGTCGCTCATTTGGCCTTCGTTTCCCCACCTGTCTATGTTACACCCTGGTTTAGGCCAAAAAACGCAGAGAGAGTTGTTACATTAAGCAATGCAAGCGTGACGTTTTGCATTGCTTAATGTCACTACTTAGAGTGCGGTTTTTTGGTCTAAACATATGTTTCGGCATCGTCATTGGTTGAGCTGCCTCCGTAAGTTGCGCTGATTGGCTCTCCGAGAGTTGTGCGTGAAAGCAGACGCACATACTTTTTTTTAGAGTGTGGTGACTTGGACAACCCTATGTAATTAAAAATGATTAGTACATACTGGAGGTCCACTGGCAAACCCAGCATCGATATTTTTTTATTGTTGTAATGACTGAACCATAAAAATATATACATTTTGGGGTTGTGAGTGGCCCTTTAAAAACCCAGCTAATTAAATATCACGTTCAGGCTTTGTGATTCCTTGTTTGGCATTGTTGTCGACTCCTGCCACAACCCATTCTCATTGGCTCTGGGGCGATAATAAGTTGCTCGGGGCTCACCAACCCCTGCGTTTCTTAGGCTGTTGGAGACAAGGTGCTAGTAAGCAGTTTTCTTTTTAAAGCTTGGTGCACTTTAATTTAGACGCCCTGCGTATTGGTGGATTCTTCGTGTTCGAATATGGATTTGGTTACACGCACTAAATTAAGCAAGCAAACTCGGCGATTATGCGTGTAATGATGTGGAATTTTCTTCAAACTTGGGTCATCTCGTGAAATTTTGTGCCTATACTAATCTTCTGCTACATGCGACGTTCTTTCTCAAGCCGCAGTCGGTATACGTTCCAATGTTGGACAAGAGACTGGGCGAAAGTATATAGAGTATTCATAAAGTATTTAGAGCCCTACTCAGGTTACTTCTCTGCTAAATATCTTGAGTAGAACACAACTACTTAAAAATGTAAACATACTTTTGAAGATGCTTCCAAATTGCGTAATCTGTTTTGAGTTCAGGAACATCATAATGATGTACTGTAAACGACTTAATTTTCGCGAGGACCTAATTTTCGCGCATTTCGCGAATCACCTACGATTCGCGAAAAATAGGTCCCGCGAAAAATTCCTCTAATATGTAAACATATTGGAATCTGTATTGGAACCCCACCGCTTCGCGAAAAGTAGAACCCGCGAATTATTCCAAAACTTAAACTTTGACCTAAATCGCGAAATATTGAACCCGCGATAAATAAGTCGTTTGCAGTATTTGCTATCAACAGAAGCAGACAAAACAGAATTGTATTTTATTCTATGCAGTTCCAGTACAAAGGGTAACATCTCTGGTGAGTGTTACAAGATACTATATATAAGACAATGAAAATCACATCTTTGGTGGATTTATGATGCACATCTTGAGCGCGTCGCTTTACTTAGCGCAGCTAGTGTTCACGTTCACGCAGTGGAATAGGTAGGTTACCCAAACGCGGCAGACGATAGGAGGAAACTTATAAAAGTAAAGCACAAGGGGACTCGGAGAAGCGGTCGTCCCTTTCTTTATTTTTTCCCGATACTAAGCTTTACAAGCTCGTTCTGAAGGGCGCACAACATTAGAAGGACTCTGCATATTGAGAACTCATCCTGGTTGTAGCTTGTTTTCTGTCTTGTTCTTCTATCCTAATGAAATGTTCGGATATCACCGTTCCCCACAGACAATGTTCAGGGGAGTGCCAGACTGATGAAAGAAAGAGCCAGTTTTTTTTCCGTAGCAAAATCAAACATAAAAAAGCAAAAACAAACAAACAAAAAAAAAAACATTGTGTATTGTTTTGGCGTTTTTTCCAAATTTCTTTCTGTTTGTTGCGTTGACTTTTTGAGTCTGCATATATGGTCCTGGTTTATTTTCTGTCTTGTGTTCCGTCCTTTCCCCTTCAGGTTTGCAATCGGTTCAACATTGCACTGGGGTGTGCCCCTTCCTATTTTGGTCAAATATTTCTGGGACAAGTTGTTTTTCTAAAGATTGAAAGATGTACTTGCGATAATGAGTACAAGATACTAAGAAATGTTTTTAAGATACAGTAGCAAATACTCTCAATCTGATGTATTTGCAGGATACTAAATTACTACCTAAAGCAATTGAAATAAAGTATCTAAAGTAGGATATTGGAGCTAGGCACAAGTCTGTTACGTTCTCAGATTCTCCAGGAGTTGCGTTTTCAAGTTTATTAACTACAGCTGTACAATTTACATATTGTAAAAGCTTTTATTTACTTTACGGCATATGAAAAAGGTGTACAAGAAATACCATACTGTTTGCTTCTGTACGACTGAAATAAATTAAAAAAAAGGACACTTAGAATAAAGAAATGATTCCTTCGGGATAACGTTATTCAATGCGGTGGACGGCAGGAAATGAATTTAAAGTGATGGTGAACGAATGAATTACATAGTATCTCGTATTTAATTTCATGTGGCATATTGAAATTGGCGGGAAATACGTGGAAGCCACTCGCCTCAAAGGTTATCTTTGCCTCCTTTTTAACCGTTTGAAATCTGGAGCGTCATACTTTACCAAAAAGCAGTTAAGAGCCATTTGCTGCAATCTACAGATTCGCGAATGAGGAGGCTCATCACATGTCAAGAGCTGTTGCTCTATGTAACGCTAAGCATGGCGTTTCACGATACTCAGTGCCACGGTGCAGACTATTTTTTAGGTCTAAATATATGTCATGATACGCTCAGCTCTTTCCGTGAGGTACAGTGATTGGCTCTCACAACTGGTTTGCGGGGAAACTAGACACTCCAGATTCTTTAGAGAGTTCTGTCGCAAACCCCTATGATTGGCTCTCCCGTTCCGAACTCGGGGGTGGCGTAAACGCGAGTACATTCGGCAAGCATGCCACACCAGTGACATAATAATTAGCTGGTTATCGCCAATTTCTTGGATTTAATCGGTTTTGATAGAGTGTTCTGATATCTATTGAACTACTGTTTACCTACAGGGATCCCAGTGGACACTCCAGGCAAACAAAATGGATGGAGAATTTGTGAGTAACATTTTCGACTTTGGGAGTCCTATAATTTTTAGTTTTTTAGGTTACCTGCGAAAAAGAGTTTGATTAGTTATTAAATTTTTTTGTAGCACCAATCAGTGTTTTCTTTGTGTTGATTAACGCGGTAAACATTGCCAATATTTGTATATTTGCAATATTAGTATAACCTGTGCAATGCCAAGATTGGTCGATAAGCTTGCATTCGGACGTTTTAGAGAGTTTTGCGAGAAGTCTCCTGTCCATCGAACTGGTGCTGTACCGATTTCTTGGATTGGTGTGGAACGTCTGAGTTCTTCACTTATTTTTACTTTCACAGTGCTGAGTGGGGATTTATTATTATTATTGTTTGCTTAAAAGGTGGAACTAAACATCACGCGGTATTATTAAGTTAGCCCTAGTCGGATGTGTTGAGTGCGAACGCGGAATCAACATAGCGGTACGAGTCGCACGTCGAGGCAGCATGGAACCTATGGAACCGGCAACATGCACTGGTCTCGCCACATTGCGTTCAGAACAAGCGACGCGAGCGTTCCAAAAATAGCCGCGAACAATGCCGTGACAGGTTTACTGTAATATTTTAGACTAAATAGTTTGCTTAACCGTGCGAAGTTGCAGGAATATTGCTCTGTCACGGACAGTGATTAAATGACACTACACCCGCCAATTGCGAAGAAGCAATTTGAGACGTCTTTCATCAATTGTTTGTTCCTTTTACTTCAAACTTTTTTTTTTTTTTTATGGAGTCCAAGAAGACAATTGCAATGTTGCCCAAAAATGGGAAAGTACTAGATAGGATTTTAACTATTTGTGTCGTCTTTCACCAATAATTTATTTTACCACAGTGAGGACAAGCCGTTTGCAAGTTCTCAAAAATTAAATAGGTGGCCACGTTTACAATGCATAAGCGTTTCTGTATCCTAACACTCTTGAAAATGCCCGCGCTTCTTCCCCGCAGATAACTTTGACAGCCAACCACTTCAATAAACGAAGTGAGCGTGGCGAATGACGAGATTTAAAATGTGTCTATATTTTTTATAGACTTAAAAACAGTCTGCGCTGTGCCAGTGAGCATGGCGTGAGTACGCGAAGCTGCTTCTGTATCACATCCGGCAGTCTCGATGTTTACCCCTTGGGGCTTCGCCACTCACTGAGCTCTCTGCCCGAGTGCTCTGCGTCAAAGAAGAAACACGGGCATTTCTAAAAAGGAAATGTGAACGCCGTAGTGGTTCACGACGCGAATATGAATGTGGGCACGTCATCTCAAGAGGTGTCGTAGAGTCACCGAGATCTTTAAGAAAGGCAGGGCGTGGCTGATTACCTTTCTTGCTCTCCGATTAGTTCTTGGGCGTTCTGATTGGCTGATGCGGCAATCTCATTGGCTGCTTAGCGATAATTAGATGTCATCTCCGCGTTTCTCAAGCTGTCAGTGAGTGTAGTAGCGTTCGATCTCTAATACATACGTTTTTGTTGTCACAGTTTGGTTTGCAAGTTCTACCAGACCAGATGCAAGTCGTCAATCCGTTCCTCATCCTGATTCTTGTGCCCTTCTTCGCCTACATAGTCTACCCCCTATTTGCACGCTGTAACCTTCTCAACAAGTAAGTAACGCACTTGCTCATGCACACTCTCCTACGAGACAGGCGAGTAGAGTTTGCAGAGTTTTAGTTTCTCTAAACTTTGCACGTGTTTGAGTATTTTATATTTTGAAATGATGCACCGGATTTTTTTCTTCTGATGCACACGTCAAGCGAATTTCTGTGACGTACACTTCGCCAATGTTGGCTAGCAGCACAGATGTTTTTTTTTCTTTTTTTCATTTATCTTTTTGCTAAATAATTCATTGTAAAGCAAAAAATAAAACACAAATACTGAAGTGTGCCATATAAGTAGTGTTCCATGTTTTCCGATTAGTCCGATAAAATCCGAAAAACACTCCCCGGTAAAATTTTCGAGAATTTTAATTTGCCCGAAAAACTTTGAATTTCAATGTCGCGATGGCAAAATAAAAAGCCACCAAAGGCGGTATTTTACGAATAAATTTTGTTAGAGCGCAGTGTTAGCGGTCTTGGGAAAAGACCAATCCAGCTTTTATTTTGTTTTACTTTTCACTGTTAAAAAAAGGAGTTTCCCGTTTATTTCATCAAGGTTCGTTCATTACAATTGCCCAATCTATTTCTGAACCACAACAAAAGCAACTGTTCCTGTTTTCAGTTTTAAGCATATTACTTTTGTTTTTATAGAGAGGAAGGGGTTGTGTTTTTATAACAGTGAATGATGTGAACATCTAGATTTCAGAGGATGGGTGGGAAGCTGAAGGTTTTATGCAACCAATGGCTTAGTTATTTCAAATTACCGACGTTTATTGAATAACACTTCTTTTCGAGATTTGTGTGTGACAGTTAATAGCGCCAATTGCAAGGGCGCCAATGCAGCATGTAGCTACAGAAATATCTTTCGATACGGCTAATTTTCTTTGTGAATTTAGGGTACGTTTTTGCACAGACATAATTTATTTTTATTAAAAAAAAAAAAAAAACATAGGGTAAAACAAATTTCCAATTTCGGAGAAATAATAATTTCACAAAAATATACTCCGATACACTCCGAATTTGCAACGAAAAATAAACTCTGAAAAACACCCTCTGAATTTTAGAAAAAAATAAACTCCGAAAACGCGGAATCCTACATATAAGTTATATCCAAGTGCCGCATTTTTTTTCAGCCGAAAGTTATTTAAACTATTACATTAAACTGGTAGCTTTTAAAAGCATTAAAAAGAACCCGTCATATTTACCCATACTTTGTCTAGAGAGATGAAGCCGATCTCTTGGGTTTTGCATGCTGTATATTGCTCAGAATTTATCCACAGCTCTCACTTACAGAAGCTACTTCATTTACGCCATGGGAAAAATAACCTACAAACATGTATTTGCCATAAATCTGTGCAGTGAAAACGCTTCGAAACTAGTTATATTATTTATGTGTTATTTTCGAATTTGGCCCAATCAACCTCAACATTTATTGCTACGACAGCAACCCGATGACGGACCGGCGCTCTTTTTGGTGGATTTGCAATTATTCTAGAAATTTGAAGCTTAGATAACAAAATCGTACTCGTCCTTTGATTTTGGCAAACTCTGAGACACTTTGTTTGAGGAAAAGATCCCACAAATAGAACCCATCTTTGTGGCGCCGCGAGTAACTGCGAAGGCGAGTGGCCGTCTAAAATGCTACAGCGACAGCGTTCACATGTTGGTCTTGTGCTTTGCAGACCTCTTCAGAAGATCACAATAGGAGGTCTGGCAGCGGCTGCAGCATTCGGAGCTGCTGGATGTTTGGATCTTGTCTTGGAGGTGAGAAAAGGAGTGCCCTATTCAGTCTTCACTTCTTCGTCCCACTTATCTAGAGAAAAGTTAAATACTATGCTGCACCGATGTTTAGGCAGCCGGATGTCAGTCTGTCCTGAAATGGCCTTTTAGGTCTCTTCTGCATATACCGTTTTTTTTTTTAGCCTCGCACCCAGCCACGTTTTCCCTCTATCCGGTATGCGTTCCGAACAAAAAGCAAGAAATTACAACCCGGAACGAGTAAAAAGTGTAGAAGGGTCATAACCAGTGTTGTACACGTTCCTCAAAAAAAGGAACGAAAGCTCGTTCCTCGTTCCTTCTGATTTTTGGAACGCGTTCCCGTTACAAGTTCCATATGTGAAAAAGGAACTCGTTCCCGTTACAGTTAAAAAAATGGAACGCATCGTTACATATACGTTACATTTGTATATTTTGCTAATTACCATATTTAGTTAAATCAAGCAGAGTTTTTTGTATTTTTTTATCTATACCATAAATAGTCAACACACGAGTTTGCATGTCGTGATGGAAAGGCTCCAGGAGTAGAAAACACGCGGAAGTAGGGTTTCATTTGTTGATATATTCATGTTAAAAATCTCAGCTATTAACCGTGTCCATGTTTGTAGTGTACAATTCAGACGAGCCAAATGTACTTTTACCAAAGATAGCACGAGCGTTTTACAACAACCTCACACGCTTCAATTTAACAGAGTCCCGTGTTAGAACTTAACAACAGTTGCTTCTCGATGTTGCTGTCCACAAGACGAGCAAGTAAAGGAGAGGGTAGGACTTTTGGAAAGTCAGTCTTGAAAGCTACAAATACTTCGTTGTGAAGGTTGGATTTGTTGTTCAGATTGAAGGTGGGGGACAATAGAAGGAATAAAGATTATTCTTTGTGTATCTTTTAAGTGAATAGTGTTCGGGATACAAGCGTGTGTCCGATATCTGGCAATTTGTGATCTTGTTGTAATTGTAGGTCTCGTTATTGAAGTTAAAAATTGCTGTAGTCGGAATAAGATTTCTGGGTGTATGAGGATTCGTGGAACCAAAGAAAGTAGCTGAGTTTCAAACAACCCTCTTTCTTTGTCTTTTCCTACGACTAAAAGTTCTGCTTTCTGTACCGTAGTTTCGGGCATTAAAAAAAAAAATCAATGCCCACCAGCTCTCCTGCACCCGTAACTGTTAGCAAGCGAGGACCAGAGCCGTAAATGTAGAGAGTTTGGCCATTCGTTGGCAAGTATAGGAGACAAATGAGGAGGCGCCGTTGGCCGAAAGCGGGCTGGGCGTGTTCCAGGGCGTCTTCAGAAATTCAAATGTGACCAACCAGAAGCCTGAAATATTACCCTGGCGGTGGTCGCGAGAAACAAACCTGATAACTGCATTGGAGTAACTCTCGATGGCTGAAAATATGGTACACGTGATGTTTTAATCACGTTAATCCAAAATGATGGTGGAAGAGTGCGACTAGCGGAACGATCGACATGATTCTTACGCCAAGCGCCGAGGGCCGGGAATCTGCCGTCCGAACGGTCACAGTCTGTCTGCGCAAAACAGAGGTTGCGCGGCGCGTTCGTTTCTTACATCTTTCTGCATGATCATGATCAAAACAACACGTGCACCTTATTTTCAGCCGCGAAGAGTTACTACACTTCACTCTTACGCGCTTATTAAAACCATATACGAACATAGACTTTGATCAGAACTGTTTGCCGTCACCACCGCTAGGGGATTCTTTTCGGCTTCTGGTTGGTCAAGAGAGCATGCCAAGCCCTCTTTCCGACTCTGCCGCACGCCCCGACTCTGCCCGCGCCTCCCATTGACCGAACTCTCTACATATACGGCTCTGGCGAGGACCACACAAAATAATCCATAAGATTGGTAGCCAAAAAGTTAAAGAGATCCTGCACTTCGTAAATATAATGTTTTTGTACTTTCATACTTTCCCTGTTAGAAACAAAATAAAAATTACCCCACTGGACGAAAAAAGGAACGCCGTTACTCTTTCCGTTCCAGTAAAAATGTAACGCGTTCCCGTTCCAGTTCCAGTGATGGAAAATGGAACGGCGGCGTTCCTTCGTTCCCCCTAAAAGGAACGCGTTCCAGGAACGCCGTTTCTTGGAACGCCGTTCCGTACAACACTGGTCATAACAAGAACGACTGAGGGTTGCGATTAAAATGGTAACACGTTCTACTGTCGAGCGAGAAGAAGGCGATATTTTCACGCATACCGGAAGTTCCAGAATTGAAGATGGCGGCGCCCACGTAGAAAAGGTGTATAGTGCCCATTGCAGTGAGATCTGGGATCATAATGTGTATCGCTCATCGGTGGTTGCATGAGCGCGCGCCGGTACAGCGGCCGTCCGTAATAGGAGCGTCAGTGGGATTGAACTCAATAGGAAGCTTTCGTAGACCGCGTTTCCCCCTCCGCTAAGCCCTCCGCACCGAAAAAGCTGGTACTGCGCCTGCGCGCCGATGGCCTTGACTGTAGAGTTTCAGGTATCATAGCGGTTTATGGAGAGCGTTGCGGGAAAGCGGAAACGATCTACGGAAACTCTCTGATATCTGAGAATGTAGCGAGAACTTTCCTTCCACGTGCAGCCTTGCTACCACGCACACTGGCAAGGTTTTCTCGCATATCCATATTATTCTTTTTTGTATTTTTTTTGTATTTCGAAGGGATTTAGAAAGGCGGTAGCTCCATTGGCTTTTCTCCTTATGTTTTCTCCTGAACACATATAATTGCGTAACAGCACTTGAAAAGGTGTGTGACTTGACTTCCCTGCAAAACACATGACAACGAACCTGGGTGAACAGTACTAGGGACTCGGCGAATGATGAAAATCAGCATACGATTAGATGTTAAAAGTTCTTGCAGGGACTAGGAGCAAGTGAAACGTCCGCATATAGCCTTTTTTGGGGTCCAATCGTGATCTGAGCTTTGTTGTTCGCTTGGATCATTCTTTGGTTCGCCGTCATTGACTGTCTCCGTGTTCTGTAGCAACGTCAACTCTGACAGCTTTTTAGATTGAGGATCAATGTCTTCAAGCTTGGAAGGTATGTTGTCATTTAGTATAATAACATGAACGTTTTTTTTTTTTGGCTATTGAAAGACGTAATAAGAGCCTATTTACACGACGAATTTATCCACAGAAAAATATCTGTGGATCAGAAAAACATCCGCATCACGTGACTTTTCCGTCATGACGGACAAGTCGGATCTGATGCGTTAATTTGCAGGATAACTGTGAACCACGAAGCGAGGGTTTCGAGTATCAATGGGTGCTGCTTTCGCTGCACGTTATACCAACCAGAATGAGCACCTCTCGAGGCTGTGCTCTCGTGCATGTGGCTTCCGTTGTGCTCCAAGTTAAAAGGTAAAAAAATGGAAATCCGTCACGCAGTGTACGTCATGCTCGATTCGAATCCCACTGGCGTCTAGTCAACCTGGCTTGAAGAGGGCAAAGACAAAACAGATATTAGCACTAGCTTGATCATGCTTACAAAAACTGTGGAGCACAGAATGTGTTATGAACGAACTGGGCAAATCCTTGTGCGCGTGTGTCACGTAATGTCATCAAGTCTCGTGACTCTGAGGTCACGTGATGTCACGGTGTCCCATCGAATCATGACGTCACGTGATGTCATGGTGTGAAGTGATTTCATGATGTCCCGTGATGTCATCATGGCACCCACATCAAATCAAAGTCAAATCAAAGTTTATTTAACATCACAAAGAACAAGGAACTAAAATATCATGTCTGGAGCTCAGACAAAAAGCCGCAAGGGTGCGGCTTGACTGGGTTTGAGCCCCCTCTACATATGCATAGCCCCATTGCAATGTAAATTACAGGCAAAAAGGTGTCACCGATAACTAAGGATGCCACGGTGACGTTATAACGCCGTCATTATCACCTCACAATTCCATTAAAACATCACCCTGACGTCATGCGGACGTCTTCATGACATCACTGCGACTTAGCGGTGACGTTATAATGACGTCATAGTGTCTCCTGACGTCACAGTCGTTCGGGACGGTTCTTTGTGACGGGCCTTCATGGCGGGTCTTCGTGATAGTTTTCTCATCGTATTCAATTGATAAATCACAATCTGCGTTAAAACCTCAGCGATGAAGCCGCGTTTTTTTTAAATTTCACTCGTTGTAATTTTTTTACGGCAGTGGTGATCTAGCACGGCCAGCGCCGTAACAACATAAAATACCGGAGCGCTTCAATCTAACACTTCTTGTGCAGCGGATCGCGAACGCATACGCAAGCAGTTCTAGCCCCATCTAGCTGTGCTCACGCAAACTGTTCCAAACAAACAAAGGCCGGTATCAGTCAGGCAATCCGATGCCGCGAATCCTGTTGCTACACAGATGTTGCGAATCTCTTTCCGGATGCCGGCTGTGAACGTGATTGATCATTTTTGCACCGACTTACAGCGGTGGTAGTTAGTGGGATACTTCGCCGTTTCGCGCCGTCGACCGCGTTCCATATTGACGCGAGCGATTTTCGGAACTCCACCAATATATGACACGGGCCGCTGATAACAATATAACTTGCAAGCAAGATAACATGCATGGTCAGCAAAACAGTCCTCGCCGAGCAATCTGGCAGTGCACTCGAATAGGTACCCGGAATTATCACAAGCGACATTTATCGGGAGATACGTAGATAAAACTGCCTTAGATTTTTACGATGCATTCTGTATCAGAAAGCAAATGGAAAGCAGGTGCGTTAATGCCCCATCAATGCTCCTGACAGGTATAGCTTTATTTTCTAAACGATTATCCAGAAAGATGGTATTATTAGAGTGTTTGATTCAATAAACCTTCATTTGAGAGTGCACATCGTATTGTCTACTTCCGTGTCCCAGTTTATTCGGTGCTCTATGTTTAGCACGTACGACTATTTGTACTGAAATGACGTACGAAAACACGCTTCCCTCTTACGCAGACAACTGAAATGCTCTCTACTTAATAAACCCTCATTGGTTCCAAAACACTATGGAATTCGGTTACTCGGTTTCATACAAAACGTCTATGCGGACTCTAAGGTGTGCGCTGACACCTCTACCGTTCACGCAGTCCATCTGCTCCGAAATGACGCCTTAGCGGCTCCGATGTCACACCTCAGCTCTCGCTGTGTTTCACCTTACGAGTTGCGTGAGTGTTTATTTTGTAACTATTCGCCCTCTTTTGTTTTGCAACAAAGTCAGTGGCGACCTTTATAGGGTAGCCCCGGCACTCTTCCTGTTCTCGATTATTAACTAATTTTTTACTCATTATTCTTTTTTCATAAGAGTGTATTAAGTCGGTCATTGCTACAAGTGGCCATTTCCAGAAGATACCGCGTATATTTGATTTCGCAAACACTGCGAAACCCGCCGTCTAGTTCAGAGCCGGAAATAGTTGAGGCTATTTGCACACTGCCGTCACGACGTTTCATCTCACGCGAGCAAGAACAAATACGGCGAGCAGTTGGAGGTATGATTTGCCTTTTTAAACAGGGGGAATCTTGCGCTGTGCTGCGGGAACGATAGCAACGAGTAGGGCACGCAGAGGGCCGCTGCGTGCGCACACACAATTCGATAGCGAGCGTACCTAAGCGCAGCTCGCTGCGTTGCGTGCGTATGACATATGCCTATGCGCAGTGTAGAGCACGCAACGCTAACGCAAAGGCCAAGGTGCTTGCGTTTGCTCCGATACGTAAAACTACAACTCTATTTTCGTCACATACTTTTGACGATCCGAGTCCCTCGTGACCCTATAATTCTAAAGCTCCCGAATCATCGTGGGGCCTAAATATTACGTAGAGTCACGCTAATGATTAACACGCGATACGTTCGGAAGGACATCGAGTGTGTTCTGAGGTCACATGGCAGGGAGAGGCGTGTTTTCTTTTTTACATTTCTGAGAATGATACTAAGAAGATTCTGCTTTGTCGTTTCACACCTTTGGAAAGAAAGAAAAAAAAAAGACCGCATATCCACGCAGTGAATGATGTTGATTGGGGCGAAGCTCTGATGGTGCTGATGGTACTGATTTTATTGTTCATAGGTAGTGCTGATGGTGCTGATTTGTTTTTATTGCTCATAGGTAGTGCTGAGTTCCGGGTTGCGTTTCGACTTCATTATTACTGCTTTATGGTAGGTAAAATGCAGAGCCAGTGGTTCTTCTAGCGGATCAGCTTGGATCCGCTAGAAGCCGTGGGAACGCATCTCCACCGCTTAAGTCAACGGTTCATTGCAGAAAGAGAATGTGTGGTATGGAACGTGGTTACATACACATTTAAGCATTTGACCGCAGCGCGGTCTCATCTATGAACGTTGAGCCAATGCATGCAAAGTTTAACGCGATTATATACGAATTTGACCGCAGCGCCCTCTCCTGTATAGACGTTGAGCGGCTACATGCAACGTTTCATACATGACATCCCCAGCTCTTGAGTTACTACCACATCTCAGAGCCCCGACTCGTCCCATAGTCGTGGCCGAGTAGTTAAGGCGATGGACTAGAAATCCAATAGGGTCTCCCCGCAAAGGTTCGAATCCTGTCGACTGCGAAAACATGTTTTTCTTTTTATGTGAGCACGGACGCCGGCCGGCCGGCCGGCCGGACGGACGGATAGACAAGGCTTGACCCTAAGGAGCTTCGCCCCTAAAAAGAAAATGAGTGAGGATAAAGCAGTTCGTTTAATGAACGCACTCTGACGTCTATTGTTCTTGTTGTAGGTACCGTAAGTTTCGCTACTGTTGGCCACAATATTCGACAGTCAAGCGTGCTATGGTGCCGAGCGGAACTATATGCTTCTTTTTGCTGTAGCATGGATCCCGCTGAAGGCTACCGGATCTAAACAACACTCGATCGCAATTTCGCTTCCATAAAGAGCTCAGACTGTCTGTGGTTTTCAACCACTAGTGTTCCGGGGACCCCTTCTCGATGAACATAAGTGACTGGGGGACCCCATCATTCGTGCGGGAGGAGGGGGTAATAGACGATTACTATAACAAACGTGTAAATGAAGAAAACAAAATGCATCCAAACCAACTTTGAGGCTCCGAAACGGAGAATAAGCAACCCTTCTCCCTCAGTGCACATGGTTAGTACTCAACTCTGTAGGTCAATCAGTATCAGTTAAAAATAAATTTTTACTGCTCTGCTTGATTGACGGTCTAAGTCTTCGGGGAGCCCAAGAAGGACTTCAAGGACCCCAACGGTTCTGCGGACCCCCATTTGAGAACCACTCGTCTAAACAAACGCGCCGACAAGTTGAAAAGGAAAAGCTGTTCAGCGGGAAATTTGTTGAGTCGTAACGTCGAGATGACAATAAAGACAAAGAAAAAATTCAGTAAAGGGGTAACCATTCGCGAATGAGAGATATTTGGCTGTCATTGCGACAAAATTGAGTGAGCTGCGATTGTGCCATCCAGCTTGGAGCCGAGGCGCAGAACTAAACCAGTTTTGCTACTCTATAACTTTTCGACATATTCGTCTGTTACGTCATGAGATATGCAGGCAAATCTCTGCATTAATCACGAGTTCGTTGCTTTCCGTCGTGGTTTGCCTGCGCGTGCTCAGGAGCCGCCTAAGTGTAATGAAAGGTTGAGAGCTCACGATGCTTTGAAGCTTCTACTGCAGACCTTATGTTGCCCCAAACTACTACGCCACGCTCTCGCGCCCGTGCCTTTGTCGGTAATGCAGATTAACGCCCGATCTAATTTAATCCTGAGGGAAACATATGCCTGAAGGACGAGCCACATAAGCATCATGCCTTAGGGTTCTCGGAAGGTTTGATGTTCCAAAAGCCGAGCACTGCGCGTGCTCAGGTTACCAGTCTCCGGTTCCTTCTTTAAAAACGGTCATAAGAGCCGACGGTTATTAAAACATGTTTTTTGTTTTTGCAGAGCCTCGAGGAGCCAGCCATCGCGCCGGGCTTCACTAAAGTGACGTTTGTGAACACCGTACCATGCCCAATCAAAGTTTCTGGTCCTCCAAACTTCGACCACGAGATTGGCGTCGGCATGGTAAGTTTTGTTTCGATAGCAACTGCATGGGTGCGACTGAATTACTCTATTTTTTTCGTTCTTATAGAAAGCGTATCATGTGAACTTCTCATTTGTCTTCAAGTGATTATAATGCTTAGAGTTTGTCGTAGTAGCGAGAGCAATATAAAATTGAATCTTTAAAAATTTTTCTTGCGATCAGCTCCCTCGGCCCAACGCATTTCGATCGAAAACATTTTCGGACTCTTAATAACGCCCGCGTGTCCACTTTCTCGGAGTGCACGTTGCAAGATGGTCACGACAAGATGAGTGGAAGGAGCGCAGCAATCCCAAAAGCCGATTTAACGCAGCACTGCGATGTACGTATGGGCATTGGGGTTGACGTTTTCTCGGCACCATGTCCTTCTATAAAGAAATATTTGGCCTGAAACATATTTATTTTTACTCCTCTTGCGCACGTCTCGCTTTGTAGAGTTATTGGCTCTCCGCATCATTGGTAGGGAAGTATACGCGTAGGTATTTCTTAGAGTGAAATCAGTTAACGATATATTATGGCGCGATGATTTCGGGGTTCGATTATATGAAAGTTTGTGCCGCAGACCAGGTTAGTTCAGAAAAGTGTTTTGAAAATTTGCAGACTATGCTCTACTTGCCTAAAGTTAGTGAAAACTTTTATGTGCGAAACTCGGGCGTCAACTTTTCCGCAGAGCATTAGGAGGGCGAGCTTGAACCATCTGCGAAAAGAACCAAGCTAATGGGAAGGCACCGCCAACGGTTAAAGTAAATAAAAAAAAATTAAAAAAAAGCTTTTTTTAGTTGGTACATTGCAGGTGACGTCCACATGGTCAGGATCACAACGCAGAGCGCACTTCCGAGGCCTAACGTAAACCGTGCTTTCATGCTCTTGGGTTCCTTCTGTAAATTTTCACAACTCGTTTCTTTGTGCTCCGCGGTAAAATAAACGCGAGGAGTTTATTTTTCTTTTTTTCGCAAGACTCCACGCTATGTAACAATAAAAAAAAGTGTGATCATATAAATATTTTATTCTTGACTTTATGGGCGTTTAAGCGAATAATATGTAGGTCGTTTTGGGAGCTACAAATTGTGGCTGAGGAGAATAAAAACTGACGTTCTATTTCACTCCGACTCCTTTGCAAAACTTGATGACGAAGTTGTGGGGATCGCATTGCTGGCGTTGTCAACAATGCCATATTGCCGCGCGCAGGGTCACGGACTTGTAGAAAGTTCTCGTTCATTCTTGCTGCGGACATAAATATCGTTCATCCTTGTTTTTGTTGTTCTAGAAAGTGCTTGTTCATTCTCGCCCCGAGCGCGCTACGCTCGAACCTTCTCCGCCGAATCTTCGAAATAGTGACTCACTCTAGATAAGAGGCCGCCCGCGACCTTGTCGAGTCAGTTTCGCCCCAGCGCTCGACTCTGCTGTCTCGCCGACCTCGACGCTCGCGACGCTTTGTTATTATTTTCTATTCTCTTTTTGTTTTGGCACAAGTTCGCCACATTAGACGTTTAGTTCTTCCTGTTTATTTATTGTTATTCTGGTCACCACCCGTGACATTTTGGTGGAGGTGCGGGGTACCGCATGCCTGTGCAGCGTTCCCCTCCAAGATCCCGCAGTGCAAGTCCGGTACCAAGCCCAGTGAGAAGACCACTCCCCGCGGAATCCGAAACTCGGACCAGCCGGCGCATCAAGGGAGAGGATCCTGAATACGGTTTGCTACTGGACAAGCCCAAGCCGTAGAAGACGACGATGGCCGACCAGGCGCAGGCCCCGGCTGCTCCTGCCGTCGTATACCTGCCCGTCGCACCCAAAACTCCGACGCCGTTCCACGGAGACGCACACGAGGACATCGAGGACTGGCTGCAACACTATGAACGGGTGGCCCGCCATAACGGGTGGTCAGCCGAGCACTGCTTGCAGAACCTTTACTTTTCGATGGAAGGAACTGCGAGGCACTGGTTGGAAAACCACGAGGCTTCTTTGACGTCGTGGGAGGTGTGCAAGCAAGAATTGAAGAAGACGTTTGCCTGCCAACACCGACGTGAGAGGGCCGAAGATCTCCTGCGAACAAGGACCCAAGACCTACATGAGAGCGTCACCAGCTTCGTTGAGGATGTTCTCCGCCTGAGCGCCCGCGCCGATCCTCAGGCTACCGAGGAGAAGAAGCTGCACCACTTGATGAGGGGTGTGAAAAGTGAGATATTCGGCGGCCTCATTCGCAATCCCCCGACAACCGTCGACGGGTTCGTCACGGAGGCGACGAATATGGAACGAGCCCTACAAGCACGCGCCAGACACTACCAGCGACACCCCGGCGTAACCACTCTGGCGACATCCGGATCCGACCTTGGCACCACCCTCCCCGGCATCCGTGAAATTATCCGTGAAGTCGTCCAGGAGGAACTCAAGAAGCTCCTGCCCGCTGCAGTACGCCCGGCCTCACTCTCCATCGCCGAGGTTGTGCGGGAAGAAGTCCAGAGAACCTTCCAGAAAGAGGCTCCCGTCGTCGTGGCAGCCCCCGAGGAGCCCACGTTGACTTACGCCGCAGTGGCTCGACGGCCACCACCTCCTCCTCGTCGCACCTATGTCGCGCCGCCCCGACGTCAGTCTCCTGCGCCGCAGCACGACCGACACCACGACGACCAGGTCCAGTACGCCTGCCCGGAGCCTCGCGCACCCCGCAAGACCGACGTGTGGCGAACGCCCGACCGACGCCCTCTGTGCTTCCATTGCGGGGAAGCGGACCACACCTACCGCCGATGCCCATACCGACGACTCGGGCTTCGCGGGTTCCACCCGAACGACCCGCGACCCCGTTATGGTGAACGCCCTCGGGAGATCGACGAGTACCTGCGACGACCTCAGTCCCCCGAGCCTACGTCCCGCCGAGAGTTCCGGTCGCCGTCGCCACGACGTCCAGCTTCGCCGATGCACCGACCCCGACGTGAAAGCCTGTCGCCCCTCGCTCCTCGCCGGGGAAACTATTCGCGGCAACCCCTGGAGGTGGAGTTGCCGAAGACGACCGACGCCAAGATCCTCCACGAACGTCGGAGGGCCCCCACTCGAACGCTACCAGAGATCGAAACCACGCCCCTGCAACGGTGTCCAATAACCTAAACGTCGTCATCGACGGCCACGACGCATTAGCGCTCGTGGACACTGGAGCAGACTACTCAGTCTTGAGTGGGAGGCTCTCCCGCCGCCTTCGGAAAGTCACGACGCCGTGGGATGGACCTCAGATACGAACCGCCGGAGGGCACCTCGTCACACCGGTCGGGAGATGCACTGCTCGCGTCGAGATCCACGGTGAGACGTGCCCTGTCAAGTTCGTCGTTCTGCAAGACTGTTCGAGGGACGTTATCCTCGGAATGGACTTTCTCTGCGAGTATGGCGCCGTCATCGACCTCGGAGCAAACCGGCTGACGCTTCGAAAACCTGCTCCACCACAGGAGGACCCCAAAGTGACGTCATCCGCGGTACGAGTCCTCGCAAACCACGTGAACCTACCGCCGCAGTCAAGTGTTTTCGTACCCGTCGGGGTCGATGAGACTTTCTGTGGCGACGTTTTGCTCGAAGGAAGCCTCCAGTTGCTTCTAGGAAGAGGGATCGGCATCGCAAGAGGCGTCACGGAGCTCCAAGACGGACGCACTACTGTCGCACTCGTAACGAACTTCCGACAGGAGGCCCAGCACCTTACGAGAGGCACCGCCGTGGGCCACGCCGAGGAACTCCCGGACGCAGCCGCAATCGCCGGAATATCAGAAGACCTCTCTTCGTGGCCACCTAAGACAACGCCGCCTTCGCAGTTTGACATCGACCCAACCCTGCCTACCCCACAACGACGACAACTCAGTGACCTTCTCGCCGAGTTCAATGAGTGCTTCTCCACGTCGTCAAAGGTGCGCCAAACGACCGTTGCGAAACATCGAATTGTCACTGAAGACAACGCGCTTCCTGTGCATCGGTCGCCGTACCGTGTTTCCGTGAAAAAAAGAGGTCATCCAGAAGCAGGTCCAAGAAATGCTCGATGACGATATTGTCCAGCCCTCAAGCAGCCCGTGGGCTTCACCGGTAGTCCTGGTGAAAAAGAAAGACGGGACTCTTCGGTTCTGCGTGGACTATCGCCGACTCAACGCCGTAACGAAAAAGGATGTCTACCCGCTGCCACGCATCGACGACACTCTGGACAGGCTGCGCCATGCCCGATACTTTTCGTCGATGGACCTGAAGAGTGGGTACTGGCAGATCGAGGTCGACGAACGGGATCGTGAGAAGACTGCCTTCGTCACGCCGGACGGACTGTACGAATTTAAAGTGATGCCGTTCGGACTGTGCACAGCACCGGCGACGTTCCAGCGCGTAATGGACACCGTTCTTTCCGGCTTGAAATGGCAAAGCTGCCTCGTCTATCTCGACGACGTCGTGGTATTCGCAAGCGACTTCGACGAGCACCTGAGACGTTTGCGAGCCGTGCTACAGGCTATCCAGAATGCTGGACTGACACTAAAGCCGTCAAAATGTCGGTTCGCTTACGGCGAGCTCAAATTCCTGGGCCATGTCGTGAGTGCTCAGGGTGTAAGCCCTGATCCTTCCAAGACATCTGCTGTTGCAGAATTTCCCAAGCCATCAGACAAGAAAGCCGTAAGAAGATTTCTTGGACTGTGCGCTTACTACAGGCGTTTTGTTCGCGATTTTGCCAAGATTTCTGCACCGCTCCCGCATCTGACCAAGGACGACGTGAACTTCCAGTGGGGGGAGGAGCAAGAACAAGCGTTCAACGGACTGAGGGAAAGACTCCAGTCTCCCCCTATCCTCGGACACTTCGATCCATCAGCGGAAACGGAAGTTCACACGGACGCCAGCAACGCCGGACTCGGCGCGCTACTCGTCCAAAGACAAGACGGAGCAGAGAGGGTGATCGCTTACGCAAGCCGGGCACTGTCCAAGGCAGAGAAAAATTACTCGACGACCGACAAGGAATGTCTCGCTGTCATCTGGGCGT